TATTTCTCATTACTTCTATTCCACATGTATGCATCATAACATAATGCTATACAAAGCCACAAACTCAGGTATCTTTTATTTTATTTTATTTTTTAAAAGATTTTAAAATTTATTTATCTTTAGAGGGCAAGGAGAGAGGGAAAGAAATATCAATGTATGGTTGCCTCTCATGCATCCCCTGTTGGGAACTGGCCTGCAACCCAGGCATGTGCCCTGACTGGGAATCGAACTGTGATCCTCTGGTTCACAGGCCTGAGCTCAATCCACTGAGCTACACCAGCCAGGGCAGGTATCTGTCATTTTAATCAAGCAAAAAATCTTTTTAAGTTTTGATAAGTTCTTGTTTCACTTAGGAAAGTATAATAATTTTCTGTGCATATAAAAATTAAAAAGTTAGACAATTAAGTGTTCACAAAATTGAGCTTAATTTTCAGATTTGTATAATAGTCTCTGTTAAACTAATTTATACACATTCCTTTTATATTCCTTAATTAATATATTCTCCATACTAAATTGGAGAATTATAGTGCCATAAAGCAAATATAATATAACCAATCAAATAGCTGTTTTTAGTAATTACTTCTGATTTAAATTGAATTTGAGTCAGTGACCTGAAGATTATTACTATACCATTTCATTTGCTCGGTGTATAATTTTGTAAGATTTACATAAAACCCGTGAAAGACTGAAAAGCATTTTGAAAATACAGTATTGCCTAGAAGTGGATATTGTCTTTCTCCTGCATAGTCACTATAAAGTTTGCCAGTCGCATAATGTGTGGAACGTGTAGAATGTACCACAGCGAATCTAGAGTCAGATAATGTTTCTTGAGCGAATCCTTTATTCATCACAGATTTATTGAGTGTATGTTCAGTTAGATGTAAGAGATAAGAAAATAATAAGATATTGTTCCTGTGTTTAAGGAGTTGACAATCTGGGTGATTACCTACCTATCTACAAATGGGTAATGTCAGCTGATATGTGCTGTTTTATTTGAGCAGTATGGGTAATTAATTCTGCCAGGAGGTTGTGGTAAGAATGGGAAAAATATGAGGGCCAGGGAAGGCCTTATATAAGAGGAGATAACTAACAGAGCTGTAAAAAGGATTAGGTTTTACTAGGAAGAATAGGACTCTTTATATGTAGGAAGGTATCATAGCAGCAATTTTCAAATGGTGTGCTGCAGGACTTTTTAAAACATGCGATATCTGACTGTTTAGTTAGGGGCACTGACCTCTTTCCCCTCAGATTGTCATATAAAAAAAATGACAATAGCCAACACAATAATGGCCATCTGGTGTGAATGAATCAAAATTATACCTATTTTTTGTCGGATCAGCAAAAATATATTTTTTGGTGTGCCATAGAATTTTAGTAATTAGTTGATGTGTGCCATAAGGTAAAAAGTTGAAAGTTGCTGTATTATAGTGTAGTGATTAAGGACACAGATTTTTTTTTTTAATCCTCAGCCAAGGATATGTTCATTGATCTTAGAGAGAGAGAGGAAGAGGGAGAGAAAGAGAAAGAAGAAAACGGTGATGTGAGAGAGAAACGTTAGTCAGTTGCCTCCTGTATACACCCTGATCAGGAATTGAATCTGTGGCCTTTCAGTTGAAGGGAGGGTGCTCCAGCCAACCGAGCCACTCGGCCTGGGCAGGAACACCGAATTTTGAAGTTAGCTGACTTGGTTTGAAACTGGCTCTGTTGTTTGCTCTGATGTTGGGGATGTTAACTTGAACGTGCTTAAGTGCCTAACTGCTGGCACACACTAGACATTCACAAATGAAAGCTGGCTGCTATTCCTATTACTATTCTTATGTTATTATTAAATCATATTAAAAGGCAGAGTAGTAAAGAGTGTTGTTTCCTGAGACTCATGTAATATGGCTGCGAATAGGATGGAGTTTGTTGGGGTGATTGGCGTGTTGGAGGTACAGTGGAAAAGCAGCACGGCCTCGACTGGTGTGGCTCAGTGGGTTGGGTGTCGTCCCAGAAGCTAAAGGTCGCTGGTTTAATTCCCAGTCGGGACACAGGCCTGGGTTGTGGGCTGGGTCGCCAGCTGGGGGTGCGCATGAGGCAGCCGATAGATGTTTCTCTTGCTCGTCAGTGTTTCGCTCCCTCCGTTTCTCTGTCCTTTCCCCCTCTCTAAAGATAAATAAAATCTTACAACAACAGCAGAAAAGCAGTGTAGTAATGCTCTTGGTCCTCACCTTGATCACCCAGCCACTCTGAGTGTCGTCTGCTAATGCCATCTAGCTGTCCCCTTCTCCAGACTGTTACTTTCAGCCAAGGCAGCTGTCTTGCTCAGGTGGGTTTTCCTCACTCCATCCTGTAGCCAATGATGGACGGATAAGGGGTACAAAAGCTCAGGCCCCTTGCCTCAAAGCAACACTAACTGTATGCGGTACAATTCATGCTCTAGAGCACCCTCGGGAGCTGAGCCCCTGAACCTGCTCTGTTCTGCTCTACTCTCTCCCCTGTTGGTAAAACCCCTCAAGAGAAACTGATACTAGAACCCCTGTCTCAATCTCTCAATTCCTGTCTCCTTCAAACTACCTCCTAAAACAGGTAGTTTAGAATAGATTAAAAAGGCCCTTGGATGCTTGGCTTAGAATTTCAAAGGCATCGGGAAGCCTAATGCATTTTCAAAGGATCGCTCTGGTAAAGAGTGGCATGGAAAGTGGCCAGAGGCCTAAAATGGGAACTTGTACATGATTAAGAAAGGAATGATAAATACCTCAATCATTTATCATTGATTAGGATGGGGGACTGTAGCTATAGAGTTCATTGTAGGGGCTGGGAAGAACCAAGAAGTCAGGTAATTTGTGGGGACAAGGAATCAGAAGTTTGTAGATTGGATGACTAGGCAGATATAGTTAATCAATAGTTATATCAAATTATTTATCTCAAGTAGTTATATCAATTATTTGCAAGTAGTTGAAAAAATGGGACTCATAAGAAGTAGTTCCGGAGAAAATAAGTTCCGTTTTGGCTCTGTGGAATTTAAAATGTGTTATGGAATGTCATAGGTAGAAATGTTCAGGAAGCTGCAGGAAATCCTGTCTGCAGTATGGAAGATGGGATCAGGTCAACAACACGAAGGTGTATAGGGCCCAAGGTAATATATCGGGAACTCCATTTTTGTCATTTAGCATGCTTTGTCATTCAGCTGCAAGTAACAAAGAAAGTCTAACTCATGCTGGTTTAAGGGTGAAGGGAATTTATTGGTTTATATGTCAGAACATCCAGTGGTAGGGTGGGCTTCAGGGTGGTTCGATCAAGGTTCTGGCCCTGTTTGTCTGCCGTTATTTTTGATCCACCACCTTCCTTAGTCAGCTTTGCCCCGAGTTTCCCTTTCCTCATGGAGGCAAGTGACACTGTGATTCCAGGAGTCCATCAGCAAATTGCAGTTCTAGGCAGAGAGAGTTCTAGGCAGGCATTGGAATTGCTAGGAGGTCGTTGGTGAGCAGAGCGGTGTCTGTAGTGTGGGGGTGGCGGTGGGAGTAGAAGTCAGTGGTGTGGGTGACGGACAGTGAATGATGTGGAAGCCCCGAGTAAGTATTATTTTTTTAAAAAGAAATGAAGTGGTAAATAGAAGGTGGTAGTTTAAGAAAGAACCGGGTTAAGGGAGGCTAAAAGGAAGCTTAAAAATGATTATGGGAGACTTTTTACCTGTGTTTGCTGGATGAAGGTACTGAAGTTAGAATTTGACTCAGGCAGCTTGTTTGCTCTCTGGCTCTAAAGACAGCTTCTTGTGTGGCCCCGGACAAGTCGCGTGGTGTTTCGTCAGCCTCTGAGAAGCAATGGTCGTAATACATATTTCACAGGAATTCTGTTAAGGGTCAAGAAAGATAATATATAACAGAGGTGTGTCATCTAAACTGTTATACAAATATTAGTTGGTTGTAAGCGCATTGTTTATATAAACCCTATCTTATAAAAAAGTGTAAGGTACTACAGTATTGGTATGTAGAGCTGAAAGATATGAGACAGGGGTGAGGAGGGAGAGAGAGAGAAAGAATATGAATGAATGAATAAAACGTGGCCCCAGTTCAGAAGCTGTTATTCCTCTTAGCGTGGCCATGTGACTCTGCGAAGTGAAGAGCTCTTAGATTTTACTTCATTTTGTGAGGGCCGTTTGTTGATTTGCATATATACAGTTTCAGTGTCCTTTGGAACAAGAAGGAAGGAACACAGTACAAAATGTTTATTGTTCTGGTTTTCAAGATGACTTTTATTTGATGTTGTTGCAAAGTTTAGTGATAATACTAAGTATTTAATAGTAGCAGGTGCTGTCAGTTTATATGTCAGTGGTGTATGATTTATTTTAGTTTAGTTTTTTTGGTGTATGATTGATTTTAGCTTGCTGCCAAAGCAAAAGCTTTTAGCCATGTTCTAGCCAAAATCTAAAAGTGCTGGATCAGCCTTGGCTGGTGTGGCTTGGTGGGTTGAGCACTGGCCTGCAGACTGAGGGGTTGCTAGTTTGATTCCCCATCAGGGCACTTGCCTGGGTTGTGGGCCAGGTCCCTGGTTGGAGGGTTGGGGGGCAGCCGACTGATGTTTCTCTCCAGCTCTTTCTCCCTCCCTTCTCCTCTCTCTAAAAAATAATCAAAAATCTTAAAAAATCTTGGATCATATGTTCTTGTTACTTATTCAACTTGGTAGAACATGTACAATCATTAAATACAATTTTATTTCCATACATTTCTATTTCTTAGGTTGAACAGTGTTACTTCCTATGCTTAATTTCAAGCAGTCTGATGCTCTGAAGTATAATGGGAGAATAACGGTAACTACCTTGTAAGGTGATGGTGAAGGTAAAATGAGCTTAAAATTTTTAGTTAATAGCAGTGGCTACTGTTATTAGTTCTTTATAAATACTTGATAGAGACGAGAAAGCATCAAGTGAATGGGTAGTTCAACATAACACACTTGTTGAAAAATGTTGGGATATAGTTTTGAATCAATTCAGGAAAACAGCTTCCTTAACTGCAGCTCAGATTCCATGCTGGTCTCCATCGTGGGGATGGCGTTGTACACAGGCTACGTCTTCATGCCGCAGCACATCATGGCGATACTGCACTACTTTGAGATCGTGCAATGACCGACCGAGAGGTGACCGGACGCGAGAGGTTCCTCAGGAGAGGACCACCCCCTGCCGTGGGAGTGAGACTCCATCGGACGTCGCGAGGAACTCTGCTAGATGTCAACGTAACCAGCCCGGTGAATATAAAGACTACAATTCATGAGTAGAACAGGAAAATGATCCTGACTCATGTGTTATGTTCTTTATTTTTAATTTTCAAAGAGGCTCTTGTATAGTAGTTTTTGTCTATTTTAACATTGTAGTCATTTGTACTTTGATATCAGTATTTTCTTAACCTTTGTGACTGTTTAAATATTACCCTGTGAAAGCTTTTCTTAACGTAACTTTGAGTACATTTTAATTGCCTTCTATTTCTAAAACCCAAAGTCATTAGTTGGGCTTTATTGTTCTTGCTATTGTATGGCATATACATCTGCCTGGATATATTTCTACTCTTGACCAAAGTTTTGTAAGAATTCGGGCAGGGGGATGGGGAGGGAGGATATTTTATTGAGAACTATTTACAAAAGACTTACCTGTATGTTTGAACTCAGGAGTACAGTTTTAGCTATTTAGACTCTTAACAACATCTGCTTTAAAACTATTAAAGGGTTTCTCCAACAATGAAAAAGGAAGATCTTGCTAAAGTTAAAATAAGGAACATTTCACCTTTAAAATATTTAATTCATATGTGGACTCATTTCCAGAAAACTTTGATGATTCCTGAGGTAAAAGGTGGTAAGGTAGCATTATGGTACAATGCTTGTACAGCATAGAGTTTTTAATGGAAAGTAAATCAGTTTCCTCTGAGGGTCGCTATTAACAACATACTTCCTTAAGTTCAGTTTCAGGATTGTAATGGGTGCTGCAAATGCATTTGAACATTGTAATAAAACAGGATGAGATGAATTGTTAAAAGCTGTAACAAAAGAAATGTAAACTTGGTTAAAATCCTTTCTTTCCCTATTTGTATTATTTTTTAAAAGATTTTTATTCCTTAAATGTAAAATGACCAATTTTTTGATGTAAACTCATTAAATTCAAAGAGAAAAATCAGCTGCTTGTAGCAGTATATTTTTTCCTCAATGGTTAAATACTGATTTAGTGTTTATATTTGTGAATTGACTGCTGTGGACATATAAGTAGCAAGTATATCTTAACATGTCTCTCAACATAAAAGTATTGCTGACTTAAAAAAATTAGACATATTTTACTATGCTTTCCAGGATATGTTTTGCTATTTTTTAAAAATGCAAGTATTTTTGGCCCTAAACTTTAAGGACTAGACTTGCAAAGTATTTTCTAGTCTGGAGGTAATGAGTAATGTATAAAATTTTGTTTTCTTTTAAAAATTATTATTTTTTAATCCTCACCTGAAGATATGCCCTCTGATTTTAGAGAGAAGGGATTAGAGGGAGAAAGTGAGGGAGAAAACATTGATATGAGGGAGAAACGTTGATTGGCTGCCTCTCGCACACACCCTGACCGGGACTGAACCTGCAGCCCAGCCATGTGCCCTGACCTGGAATCAAACCCTAGACCCTTCTGTTCACAGCATGACACTCCAACCTACTGTACCGCAGGGCAGTAAGATTTTGGCTTTTTAAAAAAGTCTGTCTATATCATCACTATTAGGTAGGGATGGTGAGGTTAATATGTACTTATTCAGTTCTGAAGTAGTTAAAAGTAGTTGGACATGGTTATGTCTGAGCCGTATTCATACTATCTCAATCTAAATAATGAATATATAAGTAAAAATAATGAAGAAATCAGGGAAGCACATTCTTATCAACTGATTCAAGTGTCTGGTGTATTTGTTAGCAAATGACAAGTGGAGCGGTCATTTCACTTTATCTGTTTACACGAAGGTATTTATTAGACAATCCTCCATGTGTCTCTTACATTTCTGTATGTCTTACAAGCAGATGTACTGACTGCCTTTATTCTGGAATATTTTTCAGTGATGTTTGTCTGATAGATAATATAGAGAAGAGGTAGTGTCCCATCGCAGAAAAAAGGGAGGGTTTGCTCAGAGCCTTGCAAAATAGAGAGAGTCTTCTCCTGGAGCAAAGAGCACTAGACAAGACTTGCATTCCCCGTGCTCAGGGTTCCTCTCTAGTGCAGCCCTCTGTATGCACTGCTATCGCTTGGCCTTCTTTGCATTGCCTTGTTGGAATTGAGGCTGAGGACTAGAGCAAGAAAATGCTGCTTTGGCCATTGCTGTGAGTAACGAAGTCCTTTGTGTCTGACCCTGGAATCTTGTGTCTTCTGCCGGCACCCACAAAGCTGTGCCAGCCTGCAGGTAGGGTAAAGTCGCAGACTTTTCACAGTTCTTGACGGTTTTGGTGATGAGGATGGGAGGCTGGCATGGGAGACATGGTCTGCTGGAAGATGAAGGGCAATAGCCCCCTGAGGCCACACTGAGAGATGAGACAGCTCCCTGGTACCCAGTAGTAAGTGTTCTTGCCCAAGTTTTGGTTGGTTAGGGTAATATGGGCCCCTCAATATCCTACTTGTTAATTAATCATTATAAGCAGAGCAGTGAGAGGTAGGATTGAAACAAGCTGCCTGAAAAGTGCCCTAGTTCTTGCTCATTCTCCTCTGGGCTGGTGGAAGTGGGGATTTTACGATAATGGGACAACTGTAAAGACAAAGTGACTGTGGCTGCTAAGCTGAAGAATCCCCCAAACCGAAATAAATGGTGTCAGCAGTGAGGGACAAGTTATTCAACACAGACCTTTGCATGGTTCATTAGAGTGAACCCATGGACCGTGGGTGAGTGGCCACTGACGTGGACTGCAGGGCCTTGCTTACTGGCTCAGAGCTGCTCTCACTTTGTGCCCCCACCTCTTTCCTGTTCTCTGACTTCATTTTCATTAAGGAGAAATACAGTTAAGGGTGAGACCCAATACACACCTGCCTGAATATGCTGGGGAACTTGCAGAGGGGAGAGACTCAAACTTTTACATGACTGTTGGTTATAGCCACCCAGGTCATTATCCTATCCAGTCCTGTGGGAGCAGTGGGCACCAGGATCGACTCATGGAGTTCGGGCAATTTTTGCAATGGACCAGGGAAATTAACGTGATCCTGTTGGGCCCATTTGAAGTGCTGTTGTAGCTTCCACTTATGGCTGCGTACAGCAGGTCCCTGAATCATGTTATTTTATTTAATGTCATTTTACTATAACTATGAGAAAAATGATGGATCCCTGGCTGGGGTCACCGTCAGTGTGCAGTTAGCACATTCTCCCTGTGTCCACGTGGGTTTTCTCCAGGGACTCGTGTTTCCTCCCACATTCCAGAGATGCGCACTGGAGGTGAACTGGCGTGTCTGCATTCCCGAGTCAGAGTGGGTGAGTGTGTGCGCGCGCGCGCGCGTGTGTGTGTGTGTGTGTGTGTGTGTGGGATCGGCCCTTTGGTGGAAGGGCGTCCTGTCCAGCACGGGGTCTCGCCGTGTGTCCTGAGTTGCTACGACAGGCTATAGCCCCCTGACCCTGAACTGAAGTAAGCGGGTCAGAAAAGGACCGTTTTATTTGTTTTTATTCATCTTCCTTAAATGTATGTATAGCGCACATCTATTTCATATTAGATATTAGAAGTGTTTGGGGTTTTTATTTAGAAGTTCGATGATGTTTTTGTGATCAGAAATATGCCATAGGAACTTAGCTCTTGTTTGTATTAATTATCCTATGATAAAATTAGTTTTATAATACATCATTTCACTTAAAGTTCTGGTTTCCAAGAACCTATCTGAAGACAATGTGAAGTGAGAACTTCCTGTGATTGGTATCATTGTTCACATGTCCGCATTATGAATGCTTGTAAGTACCAGAGGCGATTCTTGTTATTTGGAAATAGATGACATTAGAGGAGTCCCCACAACCCTAATGAGCCCTTTGAGCTTCAAGTCTCTGTGACTAATTATTTAATGAGTTAGATTATGGCAAAAAAAGGCATCCCCCATCTGAGGTGCTTCTTGGATATTTGGGAATCCTTGGCCCCCTTACCCCCGTGAACTGGCTATCCTTTTGAAAAACAGCCAATAACCTGTCATTGGGCTGTTTTTGACAACCGATCCATGGAGACCCTGTGACTCTTCGGCAGGATAGTCCCATTTGGGTGCGTCAGCTGGACTCGAAGACAAACCACACAGGGAGGTCCAGACAAGACTGACCATCAAATGGAAATGCCAGAATTCAGCTGAGCCGGCTCCAGGAGCTTCTCAGGTTTCCATGAAAAGTGGCAGCTGTTTTCTCTGGGGTTCTTTATTTCTTGTTCTGCGGCCAGAAATGAAACCTCTGATTCAGAGAGGACCTCAGTTCACAGAGATTACCCTAAATGCAGGGGCCCGTTCACTGATGATTTGGCTAAGTTTGAGCCTGATGTCTCCACTTCGGCTACTGTCGAGCCTCAGTACCAGCTGTGCAGAACCCAACACGGGCATGGTTGCTCTGCTCATGCGCAAAGTCAAGGCTGTTCTCACAGCCCTGCCAATACTCCCCCTGATAAAACTTGTTATTTCTACTGACTTTTGAGATGTAGCTAATGGTCTAGCAGTTTGGTCTGTCACTTAGAAAACTACAGGTTGGTAGGTTGATGACACCTCTCTTTGGGGCTGAAAAATGTGATTAATTACGATTGCTGATCGAACCATCTGGGCCATCCATGTAGATGCCCAATGTAGGGGCAGTTCTGGTGTTGAACTGCTGCTCACATCAGGGCTACACTGCCCGTTACTACCTGGGGGCCTCATTGTACAGGACATACTCATTACAGCTGCCGTCTTGGGCCCCACACAAAGGTAAGGGCCTGTTTCTGATTCACACCACAGCGAGTCAGACTTGGGACTGCTTTCTGTTGCTCTGGAAGGGTTTCAGTGGTGGTGGTGGGGTCACACGGTGTGGGCCTTCACCCCCGCCTGCTTGCTCGTGGAAGGTTGAATATACCAGACTTTTGACCTCCTCTAGGGCTCCGTGGTGCCTTTCTGCTGGTGGCACTTTTCCAGCTTACAGTACTGCTGTTCCAGCCCAGTTAGCTAGTTTCAACCACTCTGTTTTGTCTTTGGAAACTAATCTGTGTCATGTTTTCAGCTTTCTGGACCATTTATAGCTTGATGATGGTGTGATTTTTATTAGAAAAGATACTCAGCAATGGATGAATGCCACCTTCCTAGTGGTGTGGACTGACAGGACAGTTTGGACTGACAGCTCTCAGGAAATTCCTCCAAAAATGGACAGATTCAATCATTTAAACTGAATGCGGAATCCCAACTAAGGCTTACCAGCTTGCCAGGAGGCCGGCCCTGTTGGAGGAATGTCAATCTAAGCCCTTTGAATGACGTAGGTCCCACTTGAGGAAGCCAACAATTGAGAACACTTTCTTCCAGGGACATCATGTGTGCCTTATGGACTTTATTGTGTGGAAGCCGGGAATTAACTCTCCTCTTCCGAAAACTCCTTATGGGCAATCATAAGAGGCCTTGAAACACCACTGATAGATCAGTGGCCCTCATAACGGAGAAATCTCTCCGAAATGAGGCTCAGTAGAAAGATAACTGACTTATTATTTATGCACACCTTGTGGGCAGTTATCCCTATAATAGGAGTCATCTAATTAGGAAAGGTAGTACAAAATTTATTCATGATTTTAGCTGAAGTGATTAATAATACTGCCTTAGCCCTGGAAGGAATTCAGGTTGGCCTCAGCTCATTAGCTAAAGTGGTTATAGCTGAGAGAACTGCCCTGGGCTGCTTCCTCCCGGGCCAGGGGGAACCTGTGCAATCTCTGGAACATCTTGCTGTGTCTGGATTAATGCCTCAGGCCGAGTGGAAAGGTCAATAGAGAAACTTAAAAAAAGCAAAGCCACTTGACTTTCTTAGGTAAACCCAGATGGTTCATGGCATTTGTTAAGTTGGTCGGCTTAGGAGTCTGGGGACCATGGTCGAGTTCAGTATGGGATGGTCTCATCCTGCTGCATGGAGTTGATAGAGAGCAGCCTTAATTAGACGTCATGTTAGAAAGTGGATTTGGTTTCAGCCTCTCTGGTGTTTAGATTAATTAGAGCAGTGATGGAATGCCGTGAAGTGGTGTAGAAACCAGCGTGTTTGGGGAGTAAACAGTGTTGGGAAACAGTCCTTTGTGGGCCGTTCACATTGTCTTGTGAACAATGACCCTAACTGTCTTTGTTTCAGACTGTCTTTGTTTCAGACGGTCTTTTCAAGGACGTTTGTGAAGGGAGAAGCCTTGAAAGATGTAGTGTCTCCTTTTACAGCTAAGGGTAGGCTTGTTTAGAACCTTGGAAGAGATGGTGTTTGCCGCTGGAACGAAGGGCCGACATGCTTACTGTGCAGTTTAAAATGAGTTGCGTTTTCTAAGCTCAGGGGTCTTGCCTGTAGTGAGACTCATTGTGTGGGTAGATGTCAGCGAGGCCCTCTTTGCGAGTCCCTGTGGGAATCAGAGCTTGAGAAACCAGAACAAAAAGATACTAAAACCAGCTACTGCTGTTGCTCTGGGCAACAAAGACATTTCTCTTGAGTCTCCTGGAGACTCCTGTCTTTCATCTGCACCCATGATGTAGTTATTGGCTAATTTGTTATCCTTAAAGCAGGATAAAATCTCAGTCCCTTTATACTTTCCCAATTTACTTCGGGCAATAACATAGTATTGTGGTTCAATTAAAGCGTAATTTCTTTTCTTGGTATTTGTTTTCTTGCTCTGTCAGCTTTCAGTCTTCTGAATATATATAAAGCCTTGGTCGTGTGAGTTTTTAAAAACAGTTCACAAGGAAACTCTAG